CATGGCACGGGGGGCCTGCTCATTCAGCACCTCCCGGGCACAAGCCTCCAGCAGATGCGGCTCCATTGTCGCCTGGGCCACTGTCACACCAACCTGAGGGACAGCCTCCCATCACCATGCTGGCCAGGGCATGCATCCACCTCTCCTGTCCCATCCTATCCCAGATACCCACCCGTGCACAGAAGTTGTTGATGGCCTCAGGGGGGAAGCCTCGCCGGCGCAGAGCTGTCAGCGTGAAGAGCCGYGGGTCATCCCAGTCCCTGAGAAAACACCGGTGTGACCACCAGACGTTTCCTGGGTGAGCCCCATCCTGGCTGCTGGCCCTGCTCCTACCTCACAGCACCTGTCTCCACCAACCGGATGATCTTTCTCTTGGAGACAACAGTATAGAGCAGGTTCAGGCGCCCATATTCCCACTGCACAGGGCAGTAAACATCCAGGGCATTGCACAGCCAGAAGTAGGAGGAGCGCCTGCAAGGGAGGTACAGGCACAGCCCGGCTCAGCTGCATGGACGTGCTGTCCCCCAGCACTCTGGCAGCCAGCAGGACGCAGCCAGCTGCTCACAGGTTTAGCTCAGCCCCGGGCCGTGCCATGCACGGTGCTCACCTGGCCTGGAACTCCTTGGTGCAGAGGGAGTGCGTGATGTGCTCGATGGAGTCGCAGAGGCAGTGTGTGTAGTCATACGTGGGGTAGATGCACCTGTAGGGCAGGCACAGTCAGCCTGAGGCAGAGCATGGTGCTGCTCAACTCCCTGCACCTCCCCACTTCCAGAAAATCCAGACCCACCCCCACCACACGTGCCAGGACCCAGCAGGCCCTTCCTACCACTTGTCCCCAGTGCGGTGGTGTGGAGTGAACTTGACACGGTAGGCAACGGGATCCATCTTTCCATCCTCCATCACCAGCTTCATCCTCAGTGTGGCTTCCCCCTCCCCAAACTTGCCCTTTCGCATGTCCTGTGGAGATGCGGGAAGTTGTCAGCTGAGCCACAGATCCAGACCCCACAGACATGCAGCACCYGTTCCAGCCAGGAGTACCTCAAAGAGCAGGAGTGACTCCTCCACAGGCCGGTCCCGCCACGGCGAGGGCGGTGGGTTGTGRCCCTTGATCTCCTCGACCCTCTGATGGCAGACATATGCCTGACCCCTACGGAGGGGAAATGCCATCACCAGACATGAGTGGCCCATCTCCTGGGCAACAGGGAGCCCTGGCYATGGCATAGGATGTCAACACCACCCCAGTGCATTCCTACTGSCCTGCATGCTCACCTGCGGATGAGCTCCAGGGCCCAGGTGTAGAGCTGGTCAAAGTAATCGGACGCGTGTGTCACTGCATAGGGCTGGTAGCCTGTAGGGATGGGTGAAATGGAACAGGTTGGAGGAACCCCAAAGGCCCAGCAACAAGACCTGTACGCAGGGGTGTCCCTGGCACCCTGGCTTGATCCTGCCYTCCCCCTCCTGAGCCATACCCAGCCACTCCACCATCTCCCGGATGGCTGTGAAGTACTTCTCCTCCTCCTTCTCGGGGTTGGTGTCATCATAGCGCAGGAAGCACACGCCACCATTGGCCTGGGGATGAGGAGGTAGTGAGCAGCTTCTCCCTGAAGGACCACAGGGCCAGGCCAGCAGCCAAGAAGTAGGGGAAGGCAGGGCCAGGGCAGCTTGGTGCTTTTTACCTTGGCATAGCCAAAGTTGAAGTTGATGGCCTTGGCATGGCCGATGTGCAGTATCCCGTTAGGCTCAGGAGGGAACCGTGTCCGCACCTGCAGGGAGAAAGCAGACATCTCTATCCTTCAACAGGAGACTCTTACCTTCCCTGACAGCAGTGGCACTGACAAGAGACCCTGTGTCACCCTCAAAGGGAACCGCTAGGCTGGGACATGACCTCACCTGCCCACCCGTGATCGCTAAGTGCTGCTTCAGCAGGGCCATAGTGTTGGGTGTCACCACGTAGCCCTCAGTCTTGTAGTTCTCTCCTGTAGGCAGAATATGCTCAGGGCTGCAGCACGGCCCTAACCATGCCAAGCCCAGAAGTCAGCGGGGAAGGACATGGGACATGTCCAGTCCTCTGCAGCACAGAACTGGAGATGGGCACAGAGTAGTGAGTGGCCCCACACATGGCAGTGGCTCCTCACACTCACCCGGCTTGTGGAACTTCAGGGCTTCTCCCCGCAGCTGCTCCAGCAGCGACTGTGTCTCTGTGCCCATGTCACCTGCAGGGAGATGGGGCTGAGCTCCCAGACCACAGCTCGCAGGTCCAAGCTCAAAAGCAGGTCCCAACAGGAACTAAAGGGTTGGGGAGCAGAACAGTCTCTTACCATTCTCCACCACAGCCACCTTCTGCTTCTCTGCYGGGGCTAGCCGGGCCTTTGATGCCTGYAGAGACCAGCAYAGCATGYTGAGTGCCCAGCTRCAGCACATACCTTCCCCTCCTGGCRCAKCCTGCTGTCCCCAGCACACCCTCACACCTGTGCCCATGGTGGCAGCTCAGCTCAGAAGAGCTATTTGGAATCCTGCCTGGACATTTTGCAGMAAAATACCATCCAAGTCTCCAGCCTCACCTTTGGTTTCTTTTCCAGGTCAGCTTCTGTCTTTGGCCCAAGCAAATGCAGCACCTGGAGAAGAGTGACACAGACAGGAAACAAAATGGCTCCCTGTGCCCTAAGGCCTGGAGCTGTCTGTCCAGCTGTCAGTCTCCTCACTCTGCCTGCACCTAGCTGGGGCAGGCTGTCTCCAGCACTGGGCCCTCCAGGGGACAGGCTGCGAGGTCCCACACCAGTCACAGCATGCCCAGAGGAGCACAGCAGCATGTGCTCCAGTGCCCTCRCACCCACCTGCAGGTCCACCTCGTTCTTGATGGTCTTCCCRTCYGCCCACCGCAGCCGGTTCCGYGCCTCCCCTGCGGACAGGGCACCCMGTGGGTGAGGGGCAGGGCCCAGCTCAGGGCAGCTTCAGCCAGGGCCACTGATGCAGAACACCACAGCCTTTGCCCCGGGACTGTCCCTATCGCTGGGCACTGTGGCCCTGCCCACACAGGGGATCTGGCAGGGTGATGTCTCCCCACGGCAAAGGGTTGGCTCTCAGGATTCAGGGGAGCAGGCAGTGGCCATGGCAGTCAGGCACAAGGACGTGACAGCCACCAGTGCCAGGCACAGGCTACCCCGGTGTCCCCACTCACCCATCAGCAGCCCCATGTTGAAGTGGTAGCGCTCTGCCAGCAGCTCTGCTCGGTGCTTGCTGATCACGGCTTCCACCTGGGAGCAGGACAGAGACACCGGGGTGAGTGAGGCAGGCAGGAGCACGGCAGGAGCCCGTGCAATGTGCCCTATGCTGTCTCGGCGGGGTCACAGCCCCACTCACCGCTTCCTCGATCTGCTCGGGGGTGATGCAGACCCCCACACCGCAGGCCTGCTCGAAATCTGCCACATCCAGGGGCTCCAGAGGGTGGCTCCTCACGTACTCCAGGGCAGCTGTGGATAAATCAGGGATGAAGAGCAGGGTCCCCGGGGCCGAGACCGGGCGGGGGCCRGGGCCATATGGTACCGCTGAGCTGCAGGTCGGTGAGGATCTCCCTGCGAGCGATGTAGCCGACGAGGAAGCCGAGGTGCTTGGGGTCCTTGAGGCGGGCGGCCGTGTTGTACAGAAGCGTCCCGGTGGCTTTGTCCAGCGCCGGGCCCAGCGTGCTCCGAGCCTGCCACCGCCCCGGGGAGTGTCAGTGCAGGACCGGGGCCCGAGTCCCGGCGAACCGGCCGCACCGGGAGCCGGGGTGGGGCAGGGGAGTGCCAAGGACCGAGGCCGCTCGGCGGGGTCGGGAGGCGGAACCGGGAAGGATGGTGTCGCGGGGCTGACATCGAGACCACGGTGCCAGTCTACCGGGGTGACACCGGAGATCGCGGTACCGGGTCCCGAGGGTGACACTSGGTACCAGAGTACCAGGCACTAAGGTGCCGGGATAGCCCCAGGGTGGCCGGGTCCCGAGGTGACATCAGGGTGTCGGGGTACTGGGGATCGAGGACCGGGAACCAGGGTGCGGGCCCGCGACGTACGCACCTGCAGCACGGCCCGGCGCAGAAGCGCGCTCAGCGCCCCRTTGCGCAGAGTCTCCCGCGCCTTGGCCTCGCTGAGGCCGATGCCGGTGAACAGCCCCAGCGCCTCCTCCGCCTCCTCCACCGCCATCGCCGCCGCCGCCGCCGCCATGCTGCCGCCTCCGCCACAGCCCGCCTGGGGGCGGGGCCGTGCCCAGCCAATCGGCAGTGAGAGCGGCGCGCCTCGGCCAATGGAAAGGGGGGTACGGTCGGCGGCCGGGCCAATGGGCGCGCGGGAGGCGGGCTCAGCGCGCGGGCGGTTGCATCACTTAAAGAGACCGGCGGCGGCGGCGGCCACGTGGGGGGCGGGGCTGGGGGCGGGGCCGGGGCGGGGCGCGTCTCAGATCCCGCCCCCGCCGCCCCGCTCTACCGGCGCTCTGTGMCCCCCGGCCGGTGCCCGCACCTCCGCTGTGCCGCGAGCGTCTCCGCCTGCCCCGATGGCCCCGGGCATGGTCCCTGCGATGGGCCCGTGGGGACGCACATGTCCAAGGGGTTGGGGTAGGGAGCGGGTCGCGGTGGTGACCCCAGCCCGGTTTATGTGGATCCCGGACGTTTCGGAGTCCCCGGCTCCCCCGGATCGGGCGTGGTCCCCTGACCCCGCCAACCCAGTGTCCGTCCGCTTCCCTCCTCCCGTGTCCCGCCAGCTGTCCGGATACACCATTCATGCCGGTGTCCCCAGATTGGTGTCCCCAGATTGGTGTCCCCAGCTCTCCCTTGTGCCCCAGCAACTCCCCCACCCTGGTATTCTCTGGCTCTTCCGGCCCGATGTCCCCCCACAGCCCGGTGTCCTCCACAACCCCACGTTTCCTCCCTCAGCCCGGGAGTGTGTCTCCCCCGCCCATGCCGATGTCCCTCCCCAACCTGGTGTCTCCTCCTAGCCCAATGTCCCACCTATCCTACTCCCACCTCAGCCCGGGTAGCAGCAGACTGCAGTGGTTGGGGAAGGGGGTTTATTGGAAATACCGGATGGGAGGAGGCGCCGGCAGGTCCTGCCAGCCAGAGCCACCGGACACAACCAAACAGGGCAGTTCCTGGCTCCTCCATGGGTGGATGCTGGAGTCAACGCTGGTGTCACCGTGAGTCCCACACCATGGAGGGGACGGCCATTGCTTGGCACCAGCACAGAGCTATAGCTCCGTCCCGGTGCCAGGCACTGTGTCTGTCCCCGTGGYGGCTGCCTGCTCCCTGCCCTTGGCTGGCAGWGGCTTCAAGCTATAGCGGGCACTGACATTGGTACCCGAGACGCTGCGGTACTCGCCCATCTCCGTACGAACGTTCTCGTTCTGGGTGATGGTGAGCAGGACCGGGACAGAGAGAGTCACCTCCTTCCGCAGSACTTGAATGCTGAGCGCTGTGCGCGGGGGAATTTTCGCCGGCAGCTGCACCTCCACGCGCTGCCTGCGAGTGCTGGTTTCGCTGCGCCCTTTCTGTACCGTGAAGATGTTGGAGGCTTCCACGGTCAGCGTGAAGGACAGCCCGGCTTTGAGGCTGGTGGCATTGCTGAAGTGGAAGCTCTGCCAGAGTGTGGTGCCGTACTCCCGGCTGCTGCTGGCCGCCAGCGCCTGCTCCGACTCCGTCTCGTTCACCCCCTCGATCTCATCCACCAGCACCTCCCGCTCCTCCTCCACCCGCTTCTGCTCCCAAAGGATTCGTGCTGAGACCAGGGGCCGCCCGGGCCGGAGCGGGCGCAGGTGGGACAGCCGAGACTGAAAGTTCAGCTCCAGTTTGTAGTCAGCGAGACGCTCGCCGGGCCATGCCAGGCAGTGCCAGCCACCGCGGTGAGGGTGCTGATAGAGCAGCCAGACGCCTCGCTGCACCACGTGAGAAGCCACCCGGTCGTTGAAATACCCATATGCCAAGTTGGTCTCCTCGGTCACCACCTTGCAGGCGCCTTGGAAATTGGGGTGCTCGTAGAGGGTGATCTGGGGKTCCCCCAGGTCATGGTGCACGAGGCGCAGTGCCGAGAAGCTGTTTGGCCGATCCACAGAGGGGTACTCGCCCTCCTCAAAGGCGTGCGACTCCCCCTCGTATTTGGGGTCCGTGTAGGCAATCCATGGCTGCCCCTCCACCTTCAGGGAAGCGATGCARTTCCCAAAATCCAGCTCATGCAGGTCAGGCACATCGCAGGTGAACTCTCGGCTCAGCCCCTCAAAGTCGGCACGCTCGTACACCGTGATCCGGTTCATGGTGCTGCGGGTGCCTACCCCTGCGAGGGCACAACGCGGGTCGCGTCCCCTCTTGTGGGGACACGCCGGTGCTACAGGAGACCCGCGGGCAAAGCCCAGCCAGCAAAGGGAAGCCTTGGCACCCCTTTACCCCTTGTCCTCTGCCTCTCCTTTGCCCACCTCCGCCTGGTCGCCGTGCTCTCACCGTCTGTGCTGGCGACACCCYGCAGCCGTGCCTTTTAGGAAGGGATGGCGGGACCGGGGCGTGTTACAGCACGAAGCGAAGGCGTTGACAGTGCTCGCCCCCACAACCCGCGCCCAACCCTGTCCCCASTTTGGTGTTGGGGAGCCAGCCAGGCCCCGCACGGCGGTGGACACACTGGGATGTCAGCCAGTCCCGCAGACCAGCCCTGCCGGAAAGTCCTGCTGTGCTCCAGGCACGAGGCTCCAGTGCTGGAGAGTCACCACCAATTATCAGTGATGTTTCCGCCCTGCCCGTGTTAATTACAGTGTGCAYTGCCGGTGGGGCAGGAAGTGCTGGCTCACCCCAGCAGGGTGAGAGGGTATCGTGGTGGGGCAAGCTGGTGACCCGAAACAAGAGCCTCTGGAATTCTGGTGATCTCAGCAACTGGACATGGACACCTGGCATGGTAGCACTGCTCCAGCCCCATGCCCGAGGATGGCTGGGGCAGATGGGAACACTTCTTCCCCTTGTCCTTTCATGGGCAGGACAGCCACACACCTGGGGTGGCCAAGGCACTGCTGGAAGTGGGATGCTGGGCACAGCAGCGTGCTGACACCAAGCCAAGGCACTGGAAGGCAGCCACTCCAAGCACAGCATGCTGGTGGTTTCCTCTGGTTTCCATGCAGGTTCCCATCGCACGCACTGGAGCCGGCCTCCCCAGGAGCTACTGGTGTGGGGCACAGGGCACGTGCAGTCCCCAGCTGGCACCCTGCTGCGGCAGGGCTCAGGCAGCTCAAAGGTTCTGGGGCAGGTTAAGCCTTTGACTTCTTCTGGCCACATGCCCAGCGGCTGCCTCATCCACTTGTCCACACAGCCCTCCMCAGCCCAGGGCTGTTCCCATGGCACAGTGCAGGGAGCGGAGAGCCACAAAGCTGACGGGAAAAGCTCCCAGTGGGATGCAGCTGGATCCCAACCCACCCCTTGGGGACAGTCAAGACCCCCAAGGCCAGAATCTGCCCCTTGGGGCTGACAAGCAGGGCAAGCCCTGGCTACTTGGAGTGCCTCAGTCCACAGGGGTTTGGTATAGCTTGTAGACACCCACATCCTGCGGCGGAGAAGGATGGAGACCCCACTGCTCCAGCAGCCTGTCCCCACAATTCACCCAAGGGAGGAATCCAGGTTCCCTGAATTCCTGAACCCCACCCTGTTCAAACCTCTGTCCCCCAAAGGCCGGTGCCACCCCACACCTCGCCCCTCAGTTGTCCGCTGCCAGTGCCCCAYTTCCCCTGCCTGCAGTGCCAGGGCTGCCAGGGTCTCCCAGTTTATTGCCAGATGTCGGGGCGGTTGGGGTTACACCAGACAAACGCTAAGGGAAGCAGTTAGTGAGTGGGGGGCCGTGGGGGCCACGGGCAGGGGCCAGGGAAGGGCTGTCCCACTCGTTCCCCCAGCCTGCGGCCTCCCTGCCAGCCCCCCGGGCCGCCACRCTCCCCCGTGCTGGGGACCCCTCCCACGCCCCGCGGCCGCCCTGGCTCCGTGGCCCCCAGCACCCCCCCTCGCTGTGTTCACGCCCCTGCAGCGAGGCCGGCGGCCAGGGCGGCGCGGGAGGCATGGGGCAGCATGGGTGGGAGGCGGTGCTGGCATTATTGCTATGGCGGGCGGGAGCAGCGCGACCCTCCCCACGCTCAGATCACAGTCTCGAAGAGCGTCGCCTTCTCCTTGGGGGGCTCTGGGGCCAGCAGCTTGGCTTCTGCCTCGGGCGTCAGGTACTCCAGGTGGTGTTGGCCCCAGATTGGAGTGGTCAGGAGCTGCCAGCGCTGTGGGGACACTGTGTCAGCATCTGGGACTGCTTGGTGAATTCCCCTCAATGCACAGGGATAGGACTGAGGTGGGGAAAGGGGATTTGGATAGGGGTGGAGGTGAGACTGGGACAGGGAAGGGATTGAAATGGGATTGAGAAAGGGACAGAGATTGCATGGGGACAGGGATGGGACTGAGACACTGACAGGATTAAGACAGTGATGTCAGCAAGGACGTGGTTTGGGTGAGGTTGCGAGTGAGACAGCAGTGGGATAGGGAATCTGACCAAAGTGAGARCAATGAGGACAGGAATGGGACTTGGATGGGAGTAAGCCTAGGATSGGAAAGGGATTAAGTGGGATTGAGAGAGGGACAGGGATTGCAAGGAGACAGTGATGGGGATGTGCACAAGATTTGGCTGTGATAGGGATAGGGATAGAACTGAGACAGTGATGTAAGCATCAGTGGAATTCAGGTAAGGCTGGGAATGAAACAGTGATGGTGACAGGGACAGGACTTGGATGAGAGTGAGACAGCAGAGATGGGCACATAGTTTGTATGAGAATGAAACTGTGATGAAGACAGTGATGGGATCTAGCCGTGGATGGGACTGAGATGGCAATGTGGATGGTAGGATTTGAATGGGACTAGGCCAGGAACAGGACTGGGAGTGGGACAGGGACAGCTGAGAATAGGATGGGGACAGAGGCAGAAGCGACCCCTCTGCATCGCCCTCACCTCGCGCAAGGAGCCTTTGCAGCGCAGGAGCTTGTAAATAACGGTGCAGGGGATGCAGAGCATGGAGGAGAGTGCCAGGACCCAGCCGATGGCATCCCCCCACCATGGGTACACGTACGTCTTATTGTATGTCAGCGGCTTGTAGTTCACCACATGGAACACAAAGATGCCCTGTGTGGAGAGACGGGGGTGAGGTCCCGCGGGGCAGGGAGCTGGTGGTGCCCACCCTCGATGCGTGTCACCCCCGCAGCCCACGACATCACCCCACGGTCGCGACACGCGTGTGCTCAAGGCGGCCGCCGGGGGGCGCTCAGTGCCCACGGCACAGCCCGGGGTGGTGGCACACGCGTGTCCCCACGCGCGGTGGCCTCGCTCACCACGCACACCAGCGGTGTCACCACAGCCCAGCACCACTTCATGACGGGCAGGGGCCGGTAGCCGATCATACGGGCCACGTCGTCCATGAAGCGGTCAGCACCTGCAGGGAGGAGGGCATCAGCCAGGGCACTTGTGTCCCCGTTGTGTCCCCCCACCGTGTCCCCCTGGCCTCACCATAGACCCAGGCAATGACCACGCACTCCCAGAAAGCCTGCCACAGCAGCGTGATCCCGCTGGCCGAGTAGTTGTCAAAGAGCTGGAACACGTACATGCCGCCCTGCCAGGAAGGTGCCCGCGTCACCAGCATTGTGCCGGCTGCGCCACACCAGCACTGCCTCCACACCAGCACTGTCATAGCCTTGCCAGCACTGGTACCCCGCCTGGCATGGACACCCTGCACGCCACGGGCACCCTGCTCCCACAGCACCCCGACACCATGGAGACCCCCATGCTATGGGCAGCTCCACTGACATGGGGACAGCAGCCCTAGGAGGCTCCCACCCCACAGCAGGACCTCACRGGAGGTGATGTTTTAGGAACAGGTACAGGTGCCCAGTGTGGGGCTGGCTGGCAGTGTCCCTGCTGTGTCCCCCACCTGCGTGACCATGGAGAGGTCAATGAGGCAACAGACGACGCAGCAGAGCGCAGCGGTGAGCTCGCGGCGCAGCGAGCCAGCCCCTGGCTGGGGGAACAGGTCCAGGATGCCCGTGATGAAACCCTCCACACCGACAAACTGTGGCACAAAGCAAGGCTCAGTGGGGACGTGACACCCCTCCTCTCCCTCTTCCCCATCTCCCTGCCTGCCACAGCACCTGGCTGTCCAGCCCCAGCACGAGGAGCATGACGAAGAAGAGCGTGGCCCACAGCGGGGCCAAGGGCATCAGCGTCACAGCTTTGGGGTAGGCGATGAAAGCCAGCCCAGGACCTGTGGGAGAGCGGGGTCAGAGGTGTCACTCAAGGGGTCACACAGGGGACACATTGCCAGCTGGCACCCACTGCCCATCACTCACCAGACTCGGCCACCTTGGAGATGTCCACGCCTTGTTCAGAGGCCATGAAACCAAGCACAGAGAAGACAACGAAGCCGGCAAAGAAGCTGGTGCAGCTGTTGATCACAGCCAGGATGTAGGCATCCCTGTGGGCAGAGCATGTCAGAGGGTGTCAGGGGGCACTGGGGGACACACCATGGGGGCACTGGGACACACCAGGGGGACTGCCTGCAGCTGGCACAGCCCTACCTGTAGCAGTTGTTGTGGAAGCGGTTGTAGCTGCCCAGTGCGGTCAGGGCGCCCAGCCCAATGGCATAGGAGAAGAAGACCTGGGTRCCGGCATCAATCCAGACCTGGAGTGGAAGGGAAGGTGTCAGAGGGTGATGAGGGTGCCAGGGGAGTGACCAGCACCCAGCTCCCTGCCACCCTCTCCACTGCCCTCACCTGTGCCTCAACAAGCTTGGACCAGTCAGGTTTCAGGTAGTAGATGATGCCGCCCAGCGCGCCAGGCAGTGTTACCCCGTGGACCAGCAGCAGGATGAGGACCACATATGGGAAGAGTGCCGTGAAGTACACAATCTGAAGAGCAGTGAGCGGCTGTGAGACTCCCCAGGCCAGGGCTCTCTGTCATGCGCCACAGGTATCCCAGCAGGACCAGAGCCTGGGAATGTCCCCAGCAACTGGTTGCACCTCCTGGACAAATGCAGAACATGGGCCTCCCACCCCTATGGGCTGTGGCATAGGAGGGCAGGAGCCAGTAGTGCCATGTGTTGCAATCCCTTTCCCTCATGCCAGTGGCCCTGATGYATGTTCCCCCTGCCAGCATTACCTTCCCAGTTGACTTGACACCCTTCCAGATGCAGAAGTAGACAATGACCCAGGTGGTGAGCAAGCAAAGGATCATCTGCCAGTTCATCTCCCCTGGCTCGCCGAGGCCCCCGGAGAGACGCAGCACCTTGTTCCTGCAGAGCGGGGCCGTGCTGAGCACCAGCATGACACCCCCGGCCCCAGGTGACACCCTCCTGGTTCCCACACTCACTCCCAAAACTCAATAACAGGTGAGCGCTTGTTGGTCATGTCGTCACAGCTGAAGTTGGAGGTCCAAGGGCTGGCAGTGGCATTACTACTGACATTGTAGCACAGGTCCGGGTTGAACAGCTCCGTGCAATGCTCTGTGTTCCAGGAGTGGCCACAGGTGGCCCAGGGCAGGGTGTCTGTCAGTGAGTGCACCAGGTAAAAGAGCCCCCACACCAGGATCATGATGTAGTAGGAGTTGCAGAAGAAGACGATCACCATAGAGGCCAGGCCTAAACCTATGGCACAGGGAGATCAGAGCCCACAGGCACCTGTGGGCAGCTGGCACCTGGCAAGGAGTGGGATATGGGGTGTTGTAGGGATGAGGGAGGGCAGAGAACTGACAGGGACAGGACAGGGGAAGCTGACAGCCCCGGACAGGACAGGGGTGAGCTGCTGGGAATGGGACAGAGAAACTGGCAGCCCCAGGCAGGACAGGACAGGGTGGGGACAGCTGGCAGCATGGCACAGGACATGAGGGCAGCTGGCAGGATACCGCTGAGGTGGGGATCCAGCAGCATGCAGGCAGGGAGCCACAGGGGCAAGCAAGGCAGGCAGGGCAGGGGCACAGGTGCAGGCAGCTGCCACCCTTGGCCGGGGCACAGGGCRGCAGTGGGACACGGGCAAGGTGCAGGGGAGCAAGCAGGGCGTGGGCAGGGTGCTGCCGGCCCCAGCAGGCTGCGGGCAGCTGAGGCACAGTCAGGGTGCAGGCAGGGTGCCGGGGGCCCTGGGCAGGGTGCAGGGGCCAYGGGAAGGGTGCAGGCAGGGCGCGGACAGGGTGCGGCGTTACCCTTGAAGAGGGGGGCGATGTTCCAGGCGGCGATGCCCCCCTGCTTCATGAACTGCCCCAGGGCCACCTCCAAGAAGAAGATGGGGATGCCGCCCACGAAGACGATGAGCAGGTAGGGGATGAGGAAGACGCCTGGGGCCGGGGGCAGGGGACCGGCTCAGCCGCCGCCGTCCCCCCGGCCCCCCCTTTTGCTCCCCCCCTTCCCCGCGCCGCCCGCCCGGACGCAGCGAATGGCAAAGGCGCCTCCGCGCCCTCCCCTCGCTGCGATGTAGGTCAGCACGGGCAGGTGGTGGGGGGCTCCCACAGCCCCCTGCCCCGTGAGTGACTCTGGACCCTCGCGGGGCGGCCCACGAGCCTCCCRAATGCACAGGGCGAGCTGACCCAGCGTGGGGTGACCCCCTGGCACACACTCTGGGGCGGGAAGGCGGTGTCCCCCAAGCCGCGGGGCGCACCTCCGCGGCATGGGGCGAGAACAAGGCTCACCTCCGCCGTTCTTGTAGCACAGGTAGGGGAAGCGCCAGACGTTGCCCAGCCCCACGGCGAAGCCCACGCAGGACATGATGAAATCCATCTGCCGGGTCCATGTTTCCCGTTGGGGGACGGCCTCTTTGGGGGGACCAGGGGGTCGCACCAGTGGTGCTGTCACCGTTCGCTCCTCGCCCGCCGTGGGAGGCTCGGTGCCCTCCGCCCTGCCGGGGCCCTCTGCCGAGACGGGGGGAGGGGGAATGCCCACGCCGCCGTCACGCGCGCCCGTGGGGGCGCGGGGGGGGGAAGGAAGCACCTCCCTCCCCGCGCGCCCCTCTCCGCGCGTAGGGGCGTGACGTCAGATGTCAGGCCGGCGCGTGACGTCACAATGCAGAGCGGTGACTCACCCCGCGGCGGCGGGAGGGGGCGCGCCGCGGTCGCGCGTGGCCGTGGGCCCCCCTCTCCCCTTCCCCGAGCTCATCCCTCCCGACGCTCCCCGCTTACCCGAGCCCGCAGGGGCAGCGGCGGCCGCGGTTGTGGCGGCGGCGGCGTCGCGTC